TTCTAGCTCTTGTCTATCTCGAGTCCTCGGATCTGCACAGTGTTCTTTCCTTGCCTCACTGCCATCTTCCCCGTGTTGTCCTGATCCTAAGTTCTGTGTTCCCTGCTTTAGAACCCCAACCTTATAGTCTTGGTCCTCCCCTGCCCCAGGTTGGGCCACAGCTCCCTCAGCCTGTGGGTGCTCTTGCCCACAGATCATCCAGCTGACTCCAGTGCCTGTGAGCACACCCAGTGGCCTGGTGCCACCCCTGAGCCCGGCTACGCTCCCTGGACCCACCTCACAGCCCCAGAAGGTCCTGCTGCCCTCCTCCACCAGGTAATTGCAGTGAACCCTCACCCAGTGACCAGGCCAGGGCCAGGGCCGGTGCAGTGGGCCAGCCAGCTCACTCCTCCTTTCCTTTCCCTGTGGCAGAATCACCTATGTGCAGTCAGCAGGTGGGCACGCGCTGCCCCTGGGCACCAGCCCTGCATCTAGCCAGGCTGGAGCAGTCACTTCGTACGGGCCCACGAGCTCCGTAGCTCTAGGCTTCACCTCGTTGGGGCCCAGTGGCCCCGCCTTCGTGCAGCCCCTGCTCTCAGGTGAGGGGCAGCCTGGCAGGCAGCACTGGGGACCCAGGGTGGGGCTGAGGCTGACTGGGTCCTGATGTCGAATCTTGCCTTTTTCTGTCTCCCTTTCAGCAGGCCAAGCCCCGTTGCTGGCACCCGGCCAGGTGGGCGTGTCGCCTGTGGCCAGTCCCCAGCTGCCTCCTGCCTGCGCAGCCCCTGGAGGTCCCGTCATAACAGCATTTTACCCTGGCAGCCCCGCACCCACTTCCTCAGCACCCCTGGTCCAGCCATCTCAGGCCCCTCCAAGCCTGGTCTACACTGTGGCTGCCAGTACCACCCCACCAGCTGCCACCATTCTGCCTAAAGGCCCACCAACCTCTGCCACTGCCAGCCCAGCCCCCACTAGCCCTTTTCCTAGTGCCACAGGTGGGTGTCAGACCAATCTGGGGCTGGGGACTCAGAGGTGGGCTTTCATCAGACTTGGCTCAGTAAATACTCTTTTTTCTTCCAGGAGGCTCTATGACTTACAGCTTAGTGGCTCCCAAAGCCCAGCGGCCTAGCCCAAAGGCACCCCAGAAAGTGAAGGCAGCCATTGCTAGCATTCCTGTGGGCTCTTTCGAGGCGGGTAGTGCCTCTGGGCGGCCTGGTCCTGCTGCCCGGCAGCCACCAGAGCCTGGCCCAGCCCGGGAGCCGACTGCCCCAGAGCCTGAACTTGAGGGGCAGCCCACACCAGCAGCACCCCCACCCCCTTCCGAGACTTGGACTCCCACAGCCCGGAGCAGCCCCCCACCACCCCTGCCTGCTGAAGACCGGGCCAGCACCAAGGGTCCTGAGACCATGGTAAGTGTCCAGCATGCCCTAGGGGCTCCCCCAGTGCTTGAATCTGCCCCTTAGCCCGCAGCCTTGCTGTTCTCTCCTCCTGCTCTTTCCTCTAGGCCCAGGTGTCCCTCAGGTGAAAGGGCTTCCTCTGTGCCTCCTGCCTCTGTGTTGTGTCCCCACCCATCTGAGGTCCACGTCCCGGCCTTCCCAAGGCTGTGTGACTGGCTTCCTTGGCTCTGTGTCAGGCTGGCTCAGCTTTCATCTGTTTCTGGCCTCTACCCCAGTGAGTCTGAGCTGGTGTTCTCCATCTCTCTGCTCATCCCCACCCCAGGCCAGCAAATTCCCCAGCTCATCCTCAGACTGGCGCGTCCCTGGGGTGGGCCTGGAGAGTCGTGGAGAACCTCCCACACCTCCCAGCCCGGCCCCGGCCCCAGCCCCAGCCCCTGGCGGCAGCAGCGGCAGCAGTGAGGGCAGCAGCGGGAGGGCGGCTGGGGACACTCCTGAGCGCAAGGAGGCTGCTGGTCCCGCCAAGAAGGTGAAGGTGCGGCCCCCGCCCCTGAAGAAGACCTTTGACTCTGTGGACAAGTGAGCATGGGCTGGGGCCCCTGCTGTAGGGTGCGGGGTTGGTGGGAGAGGGAGTGAGTACAGGCTGAGGCAGGGGAGCTGACCCTGCTGGCTCTCCAGCAGGGTCCTGTCGGAGGTGGACTTTGAAGAACGCTTTGCTGAGCTGCCCGAGTTTCGGCCTGAGGAGGTGCTGCCCTCGCCTACCCTCCAGTCTCTGGCCACCTCGCCCCGAGCTATCCTGGGTTCCTACCGCAAGAAGAGGAAGAACTCCACTGGTGGGCAAGCACTGGGCACCCAGCGTAGGTAGGGGGACAACCCCCTGACCACCCCCACTGACCCTGCTTCTGTTTGACCAGACCTGGACTCAGCACCTGAGGACCCCACCTCACCCAAGCGCAAGATGAGAAGACGCTCCAGCTGTAGCTCAGAGCCCAACACCCCCAAGAGTGCCAAGTGCGAGGGCGACATCTTCACCTTTGACCGTACAGGTGCAGGCGCTGTGGCGGGCAGAGCTGAGGAGCCTCAGGGCCTACAAGAGGAGTGGGTCTTGGGACGGTGGTTAATGAGAGAGAGAGGTAGGGTGGGTGTCACTGGGAGAAAGGACAGCAGGTCAAGGGTGTGTTCTGGAGCCTGGCAGGCCCCTAAGTCACCAACAGAACTTGGGCAGGTTCCGTCTTCAAACCCCCATGAGGTATAACTCAGGCCCAGGCTGCTGCTGTAGCCTTCCCATGTGCCCTGGGCCCCTGCACAGGCACAGAAGCCGAGGATGTGCTCGGGGAGCTGGAGTACGAGAAAGTGCCCTACTCATCACTGCGCCGCACCCTGGACCAGCGCCGGGCCCTGGTCATGCAGCTCTTCCAGGACCACGGCTTCTTCCCATCAGGTGCGTGCATCTTGGAGTCTTAAAGCGGTCACTCAGATGGGACCTGATGTCTCTCTTACCTTGCTCTCTCTGCCCACAGCCCAGGCCACGGCAGCCTTCCAGGCCCGCTATGCAGACATCTTCCCTTCCAAGGTTTGCCTACAGTTGAAGATCCGAGAGGTGCGCCAGAAGATCATGCAGGCAGCCACTCCCACAGAGCAGCCCCCTGGGGCCGAGGCCCCTCTCCCTGGACCACCCCCGCCTGGCACCACTGCTGCCCCTGCCCCCACTCCAAGCCCTGCTGGGGGCCCTGACCCCACCTCACCTGGCTCGGACTCTGGCATGACCCAGACTGCCCCCCCACTGCCTCCACCCCCTGAGCCAGGGTCTGGACAGCCTGGCTGGGAGGGGGCCCCTCAGTCCTCTCCCCAACCCCCAGGCCCCTCCACAGCTGCCACAGGCAGGGGAAGGGCATTTGGGAAGACCCCGGACCCACAGTATCCCCCTCAGGATGTGGACAGTATGCAGGTGGCAGGAAGGGGGGACAGGGCAGTTACCTCCTCCCCAGTAAAGCCATTTCGTCCTTTCCAGTGGGGCGGAATGTGGCCTGCTCTTGTATATACCCCTCCCCCACAGCTTCCTCCCTGTGCTGTGGGGCAGCTGAGGGGAGGCAGGGGTGAGGTCTCCCTCCGCCAGGCCCCTGTATGTACCTGGAGTGTCAGACCTTCAGAGCTTTTCACTTGTACTTTATGCAAACTGGCTCGTGTGAGGGCTGTAAGCTGGAGGGTAGTGCGGGCCTTAGGCCACAGGGAGCGCCTGTGGAGTAGGGGAGTTCATGCACCCCTTTTCCCCCAGAGGGGCTGGACTCAGGTTAGTTTGGGGTGGGGGCTCCTGCACTTTGCCACAGGCATGGGGAGGGTTCTCTCCCCACCCCCTCTACCCTCCCAACTTGGGTTGTACTTTCTAAGAAGGTGTTTCCCCCTACCCTTGCCTCCATCCCCAGAACAAAACATGTTGATCATGTGCAATATTTCTTACTGTGCCGAGAAGCAGCAATGACCGAGATTAAAGCTGTTTAACACACCCGCGTGTCTGTCTTCTCTCTGAGGGGTAGTGGTTGGACTGGCCCTGTTGCAGATGGCTACAGCATGGTACACTTTCCCGCGGGGGTGGGGGGCAGCTGTAGTCTTCTGACATCCTGTGGACATGGGGCTCAAGGGTCCCTGATTCACTGGACCTGGCAGCTGTTCTCCAGTTTGGACACCCTGGTGCTCAAGGAACACCTAGTTCACCTTTCTCAAGCCAGTTGACACATAGGCGCCCACAAGAGCAGCCCATCCTTACCCTGGAGTCATTGTTCCGGAAACAGGCAGAGAAGTTCCAGCCCTGGATGACACTGGGTGGGGAGGCAGGTCCACCAGAGAACTGGCTGTCCTCAGGGTGACCCCTGCTGCCCTCACGTGGCCTGGGCCAGCACTGCAGTCAGGTGAGGAAGAGCACTGTCAGCCTGGAACACAGCACCCCTCTGAGGCAACAGATACACAGGGAGGGACGACTAAGGATGGGAAGGTCAGGAAGCTGCACAAAGTGGCATCCGAGCTAGGGCTGGGTGCCAAAAGTTCCAGTTGGGAGCATAGGGAGATTGTGGGGATAGTGTGGGGGCAGATTTCGATGGCTGTGTCACTATGTTCCAGAATTCTTGCTTGACTTTGACCCCATGGGGTAATGCCAACAGACTGGTTTCACCTAATGTGTTTAAATTGGTGGTGCCTACCTGAAGCACACTGTTGTGACCATGGGAATTCACCTGACTGAGAACTAAAGTGCTTTGTTGGGTTAGTAATGCTGGCTTTGGGCAGAAATAAGCAGGACTGGGACCAGCAGTTAGCGTAATGGCTATGTCACTGGACTCCCATGCAGTCAACCGCGGTTTGAGTCCTGGACCTGGTGGCTTAAACTCACGCTGGGCCTGTGTGTGTGCATGCCCAAGATTCTGGAAGGAGAATGGAGAAGAGATTGAGGCATGGCCACCCCCTCTGGGGGGTGATTTCTCACTTTCTGTCTCTTTCTGGCGAGCGCATGCGCCCTAAAGTAAAAACCTCTCCAGAAAAAAAAAAAGAAAAAAAGGACCAAGCTGCAGGGCTGTAGTCACAGATCAGGGTGAGGCTCTGGTGTCGGTATCCAGAAGGGCTCAGCCATATAGCAGACAGTGAGACTGGAAGGAGAATTTAATGTGACAAAGCAGGGTGCTTAGGGTGTGGGCTCCGGTAGAGGGACACCTTGGCCCTGGTCTTGGGCCAGCAGGCGCAGAAGCAGGGAGTGCAGGGCCCGGCAGACAGGTGTGTAGCCCAGGCGGCTCAGATGCAGGTAATCGTACATGTCATGGTGGCTTTTGGTGCCGTCTCAATGCACCAAGCATCCAGGAAGTGGGCCCGTGGATGGCCCGCCAGCGCTGCCCGTACCAGCTCGTTCACCCGTCGGTTCTTCTCCCTAAGTGGATTGGGGTGCTGGCCTCTTGGAAGCAGGCCCTGAGGAGGAACACCAAGAGTCAGAGATGTCCCATCAGCATGTAGGTATTCTGTTCTCTGTGCCAACTGTCCTCCAGCCCCCATAGTGAAGTTCTCAGCTGTAAATATGTTATGGATGAGAAAATGTGGAAGGTGAAGGTAGTCCCTGATTCCATGTCCCAGCTGACCTGGGTGCCAGCCTCTTTCCAACTATTATTCACAACAGTGTTGATAGGATTGGGCAGTGGCACGATGGTGACAGGACTAGATTTCCATATGGGAGGTCCTGGGTTTGCATCCCAGGACCACCTCGAGCACGCTGGGCACATGCATACATTTTCATTTAAAAAATGAAAAGCAGGGGCCAGCAGGTGGCACAGCGGTTAAGGCAGAGCACTCCCACATGGCTGATCAGTTCTTTGAGTCCCAGGCCCAATGCTTGAATATCACGCCACGTAAGTGTGTTCATGCCCAAAATCCCAACTGGAAAAATGGAGTACGGGATAGTGGTGTGGCTCATCACCCCAGGAGATGATTTCTCAGTCTCCTTCTCTCGCTCTCCCTGCTCTGACTCCACCATGAGTGCACACGCCCTATGGCAAAAAAAACTTAAGAAAAAGAAAAAAGAAAAACAAGGGCCAGAGGTGGCGTGGTGCTTTAGGCACTGGATCCCACATAGCTGATGGCATGGTTGGAGTCCCAGACCCCAGAGGCTTGAAAAAAACACTGGGTTGCATGCCCAAGATCCCAGGAGGAGGATGGAGGAGAAGAGATTACAGCATGGCCATACCCCCAGGGGGTGATTTCTCACTTTCCCTCTCACTGTCTCTGTCTCTTTGGTGAGCACATGCACCCTAAGGCAAAAATCTCTTAAAAAGGAAAGAAAGAAAGAGAAAGAAAGAAAGAAAGAAAGAAAGAAAGAAAGAAAGAAAGAAAGAAAGAAAGAAAGAAAGAAAGAAAAAAACACTGGGTGCATGTGCGTGTGTGCACAAAATTCAGAGAGGAAAATGGAAGAGAAGGGATTGTGGTATGGCTATTTCCCCTATGGAGTGATTTCTTTCTGATTCTCTGGCTAGTGCACGTGCCCTATGGCAATTTTTTTTTTTGGGGGGGGAGAAGTTTTTGCTATAAAACACGTGTGCTTGCCAGAGAGAGAGAGAAATCACCCCCCCAGGAGGGACGGCCATGCTGCAATCTTTTCTCCTCCATTCTCCTCTTGGGATCTTAGGCACACATGCACATGCACCCAGTGTGAGTTTAAGCCACCAGGACCGGGACTTGAACCACAGTCGGCTACATGGGAGTCCAGCGACAGCCATAATGCCAACTGTTGGTTCCAGCAAATTTTCTTTTTTTGAGAGAGAGAGATTTTTTGCTACAGGGCACATGAGTTTGCCAGAGAAAGACAAAGAGAGAATGAGAAAAATCACCCCTGCAGGAGGATGGCCATGCCACGATCCTTTTTCCTCCTGGGATTTTGGGCATGCATGCACACACAAGCACCAGGGGTGAGTTTCAAGCCTCTAGATCTGGGACTCAAACCACCGTTGGCCACGTGGGAGTCCAGTACCTTAACCACTATGCCACTTCCTGGCCTCTCTTATGGCAAACATTTTAAAAAAGGAAAAAGAAAAAAATGTCCATGGCAAGGAGTCAATCCCCTTTCAGAGGCGAAAATACCCCAGTTAGATGTAACAGAACCTAGATTCCACCAAAGAATAACCAACAACTTTCAGATGTTCCAGGATTTTTTAGTTTTTCGGTACCCGTAGGCTCTCCAGCAATCCTTTGGGCAAAGGGGGCTAATCGGTCCCTGAACACACCCTCAACCACAGCTGTTCCGATGGGCACTGCAAGCCTCAACCTGAGATGCTGCCCATTCTCTGGGTGAGATTCTTGCCACTATTCTGTGCCTAGCTGTCCAGAACTGTGCCAGCTTCAGTGACATCTGAGGGGGTCCCGGACCACTGCCACACTTCCACCCTTCTCAGCCTCTTACCAGCACCACTACCCGGGCTTGAGGTTGCCGCTGGTTCACCAGGTGCACAATGGCCTTGATGCCGCCAGCCACCTGCTCTGCCGTGTGCCCATGGTTGTTGGTGCCCACCCAGACCACCACAATCTGCGGAAAGAGGAGCATGAAGCAGCAGTGAGGGGGCAGGCGACGGTGCTCTAGCTCCCCACTTGGGCCCTACTCACCTTGGGCCGGATGTGTTCCAGCTCCCCATTCTCTAGCCGCCACAGTACATGCTGTGTGTTGTCACCACCAATGCCAAAATTAAGTGCGTGTAGAGGGGAGAAGAGCTCCCGCCAGATCTGTGGGCAAGAAGACATGGGCACGGGAGCACCATCAGAATGGACCTCCACCCTCTGTCCAGGTGTTAACTGAGTGCCATTACAGAAGAGCCTTGCTTGGTGGAGGTAGTCCTGATAAACCTCGCCTTGACAAAATCCTAGGAAGGATCAAGCCTCACTTAGTGAAAACTTACTGGTGTCTCACTTTAAACCAAGCTCATCAAGACTTGTTTGATGGAAACCCAGTCTGCTGGAACCATGTACTGAACCTGTAACGTTGCTGTTGAACCTTATTTTGAAGAAAGAAATTACAGTGAACTTGGCTTAGTGGAAAGATATTAGGATCGAGGTCCCTCTGTGGAGCGTCATTACACCTGCCCTATACTTTGTGTAAAACCACAGCTCTGGGGACCAGTAGTTAGTGTAATGGTTATGTCACTGAACTCCCATGGAGTCGACCGCGGTTTGAGTCCTGGACCCAGTGGCTTAAACTCACGCCAGGCGCATGTGTGTGCGTGCCCAAGATCCTGAGAGGAGAATGGAAGAGAAGGGACTGTAGCGTAGCCATCCCCCCTGGGGGGTGATTCCTCGCTTCCTCTCTCTCTGTCGCTCTCTGTCTCTCTGGTGAATGCATGCGCCCTGTAGCAAAAATCTCTCCAAAAAACAAACGAACAAACAGATTACAACTCTGTGCAAACCCAACAGGGTCCTGCACCACTTGAAGCAAACAACCAAGAGCCTCACCTTCAGCAATCTTAGAGGAAAGCCTCACTTTAAGTCTTGGTATACACAAACCTAATAAAGTCAGGGCATGATTCTATCCTCACTAGAATTCGGAGCGCTCTGGTACCCCATATCCTGCCTAGCCTGGGTTCTGGCCCAGCAGTGTCAGTGAGAACACAGCACGGAGTAGGACGAGAAGAGGCTCACCTCACACTGGTGCATTAGTTGGACCAAGGAGTCTCCGATAAAGACGACTTCGGGTTCTTTAATGGAAGAGAAGGGACTGTAGCGTAGCCATCCCCCCTGGGGGGTGATTCCTCGCTTCCTCTCTCTCTGTCGCTCTCTGTCTCTCTGGTGAATGCATGCGCCCTGTAGCAAAAATCTCTCCAAAAAACAAACGAACAAACAGATTACAACTCTGTGCAAACCCAACAGGGTCCTGCACCACTTGAAGCAAACAACCAAGAGCCTCACCTTCAGCAATCTTAGAGGAAAGCCTCACTTTAAGTCTTGGTATACACAAACCTAATAAAGTCAGGGCATGATTCTATCCTCACTAGAATTCGGAGCGCTCTGGTACCCCATATCCTGCCTAGCCTGGGTTCTGGCCCAGCAGTGTCAGTGAGAACACAGCACGGAGTAGGACGAGAAGAGGCTCACCTCACACTGGTGCATTAGTTGGACCAAGGAGTCTCCGATAAAGACGACTTCGGGTTCTTTATCTTTGCTGTCTGCCACAAAACGATGGTGCTGCGGGACGCACGAGGGGGAGTCAATGGCACGCACGCTCCGGGGGTCCGCCCCGCCCAGCTTCCGAATCAGTCCTTTTCGAGTCCCACCCCCCCAACATACACACCCAACCCGAGTATCGAAGGCAGCATTGCTCACCAGGGACATCCAGCGCCCGTCGCCCTGCACGTCCTGCACCGGCGTGGGCTTGCTAGCTGGGTTCTCCTCGGCGCTCATCCTTAGCGCGGGGCTCCTGCAAGACAAGCGAGCGAGGTCCGCCAGGGAAAGCTCCCCCGAGGTGGCTCCGCCACGCCCACTCCTACCCCTCCAGACAATGGACAGTCCCGACGCTCGCACTCGGGCGGAGGGCGGAGGGCGGAGGACGAAGGCCGGTCCGGGGCGCCGCCTCCTCCGCAGGGGCGGAAACCTACACTTCGGAGGGAGGTGGCTTTGGGAACCCTCGCTTCCCCCACGGCGGCCGCGCAGTGGACTCGTCCGGCGCTTCCCGCCCGGGCCACTCCGGGCAGCGGCCAACTCGCCCGGGTACTGGGGGCGGGGAGGCGAGACCATCGACACCCGGGGCGGGGAGGGGGGAGAAACCACCCACTGGCGTCACGGGGAGGAACGAGCTACCTGAAAAGCCGAGAGCGAACGGGAAAATCCTAGCGCTCTGCCTTAGGGAGAGAAGCCATTTGCAGAACAGCGAGGAAGGTGCGGAAGGGACCACCTACTTTGGGGGGTGTGCCCCATTCACGTGGTGGGGGAAGGGAGCGAGTGGACGAGCCCATTCTTGCCTCCGTGAAGGGGGTGTTTTGTACGCACCTGGCTAGGCAGGGACGCTCCCATTTTCCACTGATGTGGAAGACAGAAAAGGAAGAAGGCGCAAGGTGAAAATGAGAGGCTCGGTGCTAAGGAGACATTCTAAGATAACACCAAGATGGGCTTTAGTGGGCCCATCCTCTTGTGGGCTTCTACTTAGAACACTAGCTTTTGTGTGTCCTAAAATCTAAACGACAGAGCTACATTTATCACTGTAGGGAGAGAGGAAATTAGAGACACCTGAAGGGCGCAAGTTCAGCCTGGTGCCTCTCTGGCGGATCACCTTGCAGATCTGTGGCCTCTCCTCCCCTCTCCAAACCCACTGGCCACGACAACTTCAACTGGGTGTGTCTGGGCTCTGAAACCCACACCTGCAACCCAGGCCACCCTTCTCTGCCCCAAATTAATCTCAGACCTCCTATGTCTGTTTATAGCTCCCTGTTCTCATGGTCAAGTGGGGTTGTCCTTCCCCTGTAAATGTCCTCGTCCTTTTCCTGTAGCCCTACTCACAGGTTGGACTTTCCCATTTATTTATTCCTTCTAGGTAGAGTGATGGTGAGACAGAGGTGGGTCTTCTTGACTGAGTTTATGTTCGACCTCAGTCTACATCCCTAGGATGGGGTCTGGCTCGTAGTGGCTGCTCAACAAGTACTTGCTAAAGGAGTATTACATGAGTGAGTCAGAATCTGGCTTTAGCCTACTACGTTGAGGGAGACAGATCCAGACACAGCTGTTTTGGGTCAAAGCTGTGACTGGGGAAGGCACAGGGAATCTCTACAGAGTAAGAAGAGGACTCTGAAAGCTGGAGGTTTCCTAGAAATAGTATCTGAGCTGCGTTTGAAAGATAGGGAAGATAAGGGGCCAGAAAGTGGGATGATAGTGTGGACCGAAGTCTGACTACTTTTCCTATTTTTCCAAAATCTTTTCAAAAGGGACTGGGGAAGTCATGTCCACAAACATTAATAGACCATTTATTCTCCATGAACAGGATTCTCCCTGCATCCTGTCCCTGGCATAGTATCTTTGAGATGTATATTCCAACCGATTACAGTATATTCTTGTGCTTATCTCTTCCCAAGACACAGAACTTCCCTTTTCCTTGAGATGTAGATTAAGCCTTTCTTTAACTAAGACATAGATCTTCCCTTCCAATCACCAACCTAAGAATTGTGGAACCCACCTATAACCTACAAGCCCCTGCTTCCACATGTCCCGCCTTTTTGGGCCAGACCAATGGAAAAATCTCTTCACTAAATTTTGTCTGTCAATCCCCAAAAAAACGAATAAAAGGAACCCCTCTATGTGATCACCCTGAGAAACACATGTATGCCTCTTCTCTGGGCCTAGGTCACTCATATTTGGCTTGGAAATAAACCACATTAATTATTATTAATTTTTACAGTTGGTTATTTTTCTATCGACAGTAGTTAGGGTGCCAGACTCCCACATGGCCAACCATGGTTTGAGTCCTAGACCTGGTGACTTGAAAAATCATGCTGGGTGCGAGTGCATGTGTGCCCAAAATCCCAGGAGGAGAATGGAGAAGAAAGGAGTATGGTGTGGCCACCCCCACTCCCAGGTTCTCACCTTCCCTCTCGCTGTCTCTCACTGGTGGGCACATGTGCCCTGTGGCAGAAACTTTAAAAAAATAATAAAAAGAGTGAAGATTGGGCAAGTAGAAAGAAAACACATAAAAGTAATGTAATTTGTTTTAGGACATGGAAAATACCTTGGCATTGCTAGATTTTAAACTCTGAGAAGGGACCAGCAGTTAGAATTCCCATGTAATTAACCGTGGTTCGAGCTCCAGACCTGGTTACTTAAACTCACCCTGGGCTTGTGTGCGTGTGTGCCCAAGATCCCAAGAGGAGAATGGAGGAAAAAGGATTGCGGCGTGGCCATTTCCCCTTGAGGGGGCAATTTGTTGCTTTCTGTCTCTCAGTCGTGCTCTTTCTGGTGAGCACATGCGTCCTATAGCAAAAACCTCTAAAAAAAAAAAAAAATCTGAGAAGGAGAAGGGCAGTTCCTGAGCAAATCTTAGTGAGAAACGAAGCTTCCAGGCATTCATTTATTCACCTGGCACTATCTCAAGTTAGATGCATTAGTTCATTTTGTCATAATAGCAACTATTACCAGTTCCATTTTTTAAAAAATTCCTAGGGGGGCCAGCAAGTGGCATGGTGGTTAAGGGCGCTGGACTCCCACATGGCCAACCGTGGTTCCAGTCTCGGACCTGGTGGCTGACTTTCTCACTTTCCTTCTCTCTCTCGCCGTGTCCCTCTCTGGTCAAATAAAAATAAACGAATACATAAATAAAGTTAAATAAAACAATTCTTAAAAAAAAAAAAAATTCCTAGGTCAACAGGTGACATGGAGGTTAAGGCGGCTGGGTCTCACATGGCCAACTGCTCGATTTGAGTCCCAGACCCAGCAGCTTGAAAGCACGTGGGGTGTGCATGCGTGCATGCCCAAAATCCCAAGAGGAGAATGGAGCAGAAGGGACTGTGGGGGTGGCCATTTCCCCTGGGAGGATGATCTCTCACTTTCCCTCTGTCTCTCTCTGAGGTGTGCACACACCCTATAGCAAACTAAACAAACAAACAAAACCCTAATAGAGCAGGTAAGCGAGAGCGAGAGCGAGAGCGAGAAAGGCACTCTCCACAGGGCTGGGTTATGCTGCCAGCTCCTCCATCCTCCAGACCACCAGGATCTGAGCATATGCCCGGCATGTTTTCAGGCCGATTGGGCAGGCAATTGACATGTGGCTTCTAGCTCTGTGATCTGGCATGCAACAGATTTCATCACAAGAGGCTGGGCCCCCAACCTCATTAAAAAAAATTTCTAATTGCTTCCATTTTTCCATCCTGTTGGGATTTGGGGCGCTCATGCACATTCACCCTGCATGTTTTTCTAGCCTCTGGGGCCGGGATTTGAACTGCAGTTGGCCGTATGGAATCTGGCTCTCTTAAGCACTAAGCTACAGGCCAGACTCCAGCTGGATTTTATAGATTAGGAAATAGGCTCTGAGGGATTACCTTCCCAAGGTCACACATCTCAAATGTGCTATTTTGGGCATTTGGACCAGGGTAGTCTAACCCCAGGGCCTAATTCTGAATCTCTGATTCTCTATAGAGATGAAGTCTGGGACTGTCTGGGGACTGGCTGGGTGTGTGCAGACTACCCTGATCCTTCTCGTCCCTCAAGCCTCACCTTGACTTTCTGAAAAAAATTGCCCACAGCTGATTTATGCCACCACGACTCAATTTGATTCCCAAGCCAATCAGCATTCAGAAAGGGGGCGGGCCTAGTGGACCTCATAGCCAATTGGTTGATGGGAGGTGCAAAGGCCCAGAGAGAGAGGTCTCCAAAACGTTCCCGGCTGAGGGGCGGGGCTGTAGCCGCCAGTCTGGGCTCCGGAACCTCGTGTCTTTCTCAGGGGCCGGAAGTCAAAGGGCAAGGACGGGGCACACGCATGCGTGCGGCGTGTCTGAGGCCCAGAAGAGCGCCACAGTGCGTCGAGAGCTGGGGTCTCTGCGGAAGAGAAGCCATTGCTCCCCAGAGCCACGTGGTGTAGGAGGGGGTGTTCGTTAGGGCAGAAGAGGGTGAGGTGGCCCTCCCCACCACTTGCGTACCCAGCCCCTTCACTCTGCGCCCCTGCCTTACCCCAACTGCCCACCCTGCCTCGTCTCCTGCCCAAAGCGTCCCCTCGTGGCGAGGCCAAGTTCCCCATAGCTCCTCTTGTGGTTTTCTCCCACTCTCCAGCTTCTCTTGCGGTTCTCTCCCTGCCCTGCTTCACTTTCTCTACAATCTCTCGTCACTTTCTGCATTCTCCTGTACCTCCTGGGCCCCTGGAGTCCCCCAAATCTCTCCAACCTCATGCTCCCTCCTCTTTTCTTCCATCTTTTTTGTCTTGTTTAAAGAGATTTTTGCTATAGGGCACGTGAGCTAGTGGAAAGACAGAGAGAAAGTGAAAAACCAGTCCCCGGTGAGGCGGACGGCCACACTGCAATCCCTTCTCTTCCATTCTCCTCTCAGGATCTTGGGCACACACGCACACATATACATGCCTGGTATGAGTTTTAAATCGCCAGGTCTGGGACTTGAACTGCAGTCAACTACATGAGAGTCCAGTGACATAGCCATTATACCACCTGCTCTCCCTTTCTTCCATCAATTTTAACTATATCCTCATATCCCTTTTCCTAATAACCCCTTTGTCTATTTTGTGATGTTTCTTCCCATTAACCATGAGTACCTTGAACTTACCCCATCCCCATGACTCCTTCCCTGACTAAGCCTTTTCTGATCGCCCTTTGCTCACTTTCTCTTATCTTTCTAAATAGTATTTCCATCTCACCTCAGGTCAACTCTTCTCACTACTCTGCCGTTCATCTTGACATATCTGTGGCCTGATGATCATCCTCTCTTTAACTTCCAGCACACTATGGACCCCCGGGGACCAACCCTCCGTCCTTTCCAGTGGCCTGAGAAACCTGGTCGGGTCCGCCGTCGGAAGACCAGACGGGAGAGGAATGAGGCCCTGTTGGGCAGCCGCCGGCCACTGGTCGGTCAGGATCCTCCTGTGTCCAGTCGGGATCTGCCTGTGGCCCCTCAGGATCCTGTGGTTCCTACAGCTCCCAAGCTTGTGGTCATAACCCAGGGCCGGCTGAGCCAAAAGCACCGGGGTCTCTTTAACCATGAGGTTAAATCCCTGGATGTGGCACGGCTGCTTAGCAGTGAGTCCCTGGAGCCGGGCATCCTCCAGCTTCCCACCAAGCCTTCCCCAAGCCCAGGTGGGGCCCAAGTACCAGCCTCACAATCAAGGGGCAAGGAGAATCAGATGCCTGGAGGCTCAAGCCTGGGTCCATCTAGTTCCCCAGAGTTACCTGACTTGGTCCAGCTGCTGGGAGAGCTACAGTGCCAGCTGCTTCTGCCACAGGCCTTCCCCAGGAGGAACCTGGTGCAAGAAGCCAGGGACACCATCGTGGGTACCTTACAGGCCTGCCATGGCTGTGTGCCTGACCTTGCCCTAGTGCTCCGGGGCTGTCAGCTGCCCTTGCCAGGTGAGCTCACCTCCTGCCCCCTACACCCCCACCCTTTGTTTCCTCTAGCTCAGCTGTCCCCATGCTTCTTTCCTCTGTGCCAGGGACCAAGCCTGGGGACCTTGCAAGAAGAAGGTCAGCACCTTCCTGGATCAATACCACTGAGCAGGCTCCAGGAGAGGGGAGGCAGCGGAGGCAACAGGGGACAAAGGAGTTCACTTTTGCCATATCTCACACCTCCAGTGCTCCCACTACACACAGGGTGAACCTGGCACCACCAAGAGGTCCTCGGCCACCCCTCTTGCCCTCACTGCCTTCGCCATCTGGGGCATTGGGTCCCCCAACAGCCTTTGATCTGCTGAAAAGCATCTGGCTTGTAGCCACACCACCCCCTCCCCAGCCCTGGGAGGTCAGTCCACCTCAGCCTCTGCCTCAACCACCATCACCCTTGCTGCCCCGAACCGCAGCCCTGGACTGGAGCCCCAGCCCCCCTGCCCCACTGCCCAGCCTCTCCTGGGTGGTGGCCCAGAGCAGTCCAGAAGCTTGGTCCTTTCCACCCATGAGACTATACTGAGGAGGCTGGGGCTGGGAGCAGGTACTCCCAGTCTTTTCAATAAAGTGCCATTTTCATGGTCTTGATTTTCAGTGAGTGGATGAGCCAAGAGAGCAGCTCTCCTTAGCTCTGAATTGTAGGTCCAAGATGGAAGGAAAGGTACTGTCACTAGTCACCTTCCCCAGTCCTGAGGAGCCTCAGTCACTCTTAACACACATACTCTCTGTGGCCAACTGTGTGCCTGACTCTGAGCTCTGGTGAGGCCAGGACCCAGAAGGAGTGAGACCAAGGCCTGTTCCCATGAGCCCCCTATTCCAGTGGGGGGCAGACACAGTCTCAGCTACTGTGGCTGTGTCTGGGGGAGAGAGGCGCAGGGGCTGGGAGAGTCCCAGGGAGTGTGACTGTTCCAGTGATGAGGGAAGCCTGCACAGAGGAGTTGACTCAGACCCTGTCTTTGTCAAGGTTGGTAGAAACTTGCTAGTTGAGAAAAAGGATATTTCAGGCAAGGGGAATAATGTGTGCAAGGTCTGGAGAAGGGCAAATAGAGGATATGGGACCTTTTTCTCTCTCTTTTAAGAAAAATTGCTGGGGCCAGCAAGTGGCGTGGTGGTTAAAGTGCTGGACTCCCACATGGCTGATTGGTTTGAGTTCCAGATCTTGTGGCTTGCTTCCTCACTTTCCCTTTCTGTCTCTTGTCAAATTAAAAAAATAATGGGAGGGACAAGCAGTTAGCGTAATGGCTATGTCTCTGAACTCCCACGTAGTCGACCGCGGTTCGAGTCCCAGACCCAGTGGCTTAAACTCACACCGAGCGCGTGTGCGTGCGTGCCCAAGATCCCGAGAGGAGAATGGAGAAGGGATTGCGGTGTGGCCATCCCCCCTGGGGGGTGATTTCTCACTTTCCATCTCTCTTGTCTCTCTCTCTCTGGTGAGTGCGCGCACCCTATAGCAAAAACCTCTTCAGCCCCACTTAATATATACCGAGTGTCTGCACTCTAAAAAAGAAAAATTATATATA